ATGCGAAATCCATTAATTTAGACGACACCGCACGAAAAGCATTCTCCACAGTTAAGGAACTGATTGCTAAAGCAACAATGCTCGCACATCACGACACCCGAGCACCCATTAGCATCGCAGTAGACGCATCCGACTCGGCAATCGGAGGAGTCTTACAACAATGGGTTAACAACTCCTGGCAACCCTTGGCATTTTTCTCTCGAAGGTTGCTAGACACCGAATCGAGGTACAGCACATTCGGTAGGGAACTCCTAGATATGTATTGTGCTGTACGGCATTTCCAACACTACATCGAAGGTCGTGACTTCACTCTTTTCACGGACCATAAACCGCTCACTTTCTCGTTAAGCTCTCCTTCTGACAAGTACTCTCCCCGTGAGTCTCGATAACTGGACTATATTTCGCAGTTTACTTCAGATATTCAACACATCTCTCGAGCAAACAATGTAGTCTCAGACGCCTTGTCTCGCATAACTTCCTTGAACAGTTTCCAAGGAATCGACCTTCTTAAACTCGCCGAGCTTCAAAAAGAAGACACTGATCTTCAACACGAGTTATCGTTCACAACACTTAAACTACGTATCAAACAGATGGGAACAGGTAAGGAAACCTTACTTTGTGACACATCTACAGGTAGGGATCGCTCAATCGTGCCGAAACGTTATCGACGCAACGTCTTCAATACGTTGCACAAACTTCCTCATCCAGGTGTACGTGCAACCATCAAGCTTATAGCGGAACGGTTTTGCTGGCCTGGAATGAATAAAGACGTGAGGGATTGGGCACGCTCCTGTGTAAGCTGCCAAACATCGAAGGTTAGCAGACAATAAATGTCCCCTAGGCTCATTTAAAACTCCCGATGCTCGTTTCGACCATGTTCATCTGGATTTGGTAGGACCTTTACCAGATTCAAATGGATACTCTTAGCTCCTAACCTGCGTAGACCGTTTCACTCGATGGCCAGAAGCAGTACCTATCAAGGACATCACTGCTGAAACAGTGGCCCTCACCTTCGTCGAACGATGGGTAGCGAACTTCAGGTGCCCTTCAACCATCACTACAGATCGCGGACGTCAGTTTGAATCTGAACTTTTCCGTCGTCTGACCACACTTTTAGGAATCACTCGCTTCCGAACGACTGCCTACCATCCACAAGCAAACGGGTTGGTAGAACGCTTTCACCGACAACTAAAAGCTTCACTAACAGCTGCACACGTTTCACAGTGGACCGACGCTTTTCCACTCGTCTTACTAGGTATCCGCAATGCAGTGAAAGCTGACATTGGATACACTGCGGCTCAACTCGTTTATGGAACGACACTTCGACATACAGGAGAATTCGTGGATCCTTCATCCTCTTCAATGAACATGGATCTAACCTCCTGCACGAACAGGCTTACAAACACAATGCGTTCAGTTAAACCTGCTTTCACTCGACCACGATCAACCGATGTTTTCGTTCAACCTGACTTACGATATGGTACACACGTTTTCGTTCGTCGAGACTCACATCGAAGACCATTCGAATCAGCATACAAAGGACCCTTCAAAGTTCTTCAACGTGAATCTAAGTACTATATAGTCGATAAGAACGGAACTAAAGATAGCATCAGCATCGATCGCTTAAAAGCAGCGTATTTAGAAGGAAATCCTATCCACGTCGATTTTCCTTCGGCACAATCGAACGATACGACTCCACTCATAATTCCTCAATCGACAACCAACACTAGAGATGATACTTCGAATGTATCTGAAAATATACCTAAAACGACGCGTTCTGGAAGAAGAGTAAGATTTCCAGAACATTTGAACGACTACTGCACGTAAGGCACTACTCGGCATTTTATATTATCTCGATCTTTATTTTTAACGATATGTAATTTTTTTAAAAAGACAATTTTATTATGCCTATATATTTATATTTTTATTCTTAAAAAAAAAACAAAACAAAACATAAAAAACATTTTTTTAACACTATTACGTGTGCTTGAGTATATTTTCCATTTTTTCGCCGCCATTGTGCTTTTACGCACATACAAGTGTATTTCGACATGCACTTACACTTTTCTTTTTCTTTTCCAGGACGACTGGAAAAGAACGATACAGTTTACGAGGAGTCGAAAATTTCGTTGTAACTCTTTCTTTTTTTACTATGTTGTACCTCGGTCCCATATAGTAAGGAAAGACGACCAGACGCTGCTACACTTAGTAAGCTATCAGAAGAGTGTTTACCAACGACAAACTCGTTGGGTTTAAACTTCTGGCTGGCCACGTCTTAGGGTCGTCACTACCCCACTAGGGGGGAGTGATCTGTAGCGGTAAATAAATCCCCAAAATAAATACCTCTGTAAGTTTTCGACATTGGATACTGATCATATGTTTTAGTGGGCTCATCTAGCGGAAGGCGCTCGGTCATGCATCCGCACCAGATCACGTGTGGTAACGCTGTGCTCAACATCAACCGCAATCGCTAGCCAGATTAGATCAGAGAATTCCGATATATTGGTCATCGCCAAATATACTCTTCCGACATCCTCGACTCTGTCTTTTGATTTCTCTGGGTGGGAACGAAATACATTAGAAGGTGTTACTGGTAGAAGCGTTGTCAAACACTGAATACCTGTGATATCATTAGGTCGTACGAGAAGTCTTTTGATTCCTTAGGGAAGGTAATTGCTCAGATATATTATTGGTTAAAAGTGATTTTAATGCTTTTTATACGGATGTCCTTTTATCATCTAGGCCAGCTACGTGCTTAACTCGATCAACTTTGAGAAACAGAGAGATAACCAATCGTCTAGTGATCTAGTTGCCATAAGTCTGTCTAAATTTGTACAGTGCTCGGCAAGCGAACGTTCTATGGATATATTTTTAAGTTATCACTTGGATATTATAGAAATACTTAAATACTAAATCTAATTGCTCACTTAGTCAGGCAGATTCAGATAACCATTTCGGGTCGGCTTTATAATCGTATCCAGTGTTTGAGGACTTAAGGTTACAGAGTCTGGAATCTGTCAAAAAGACGGGTGGATTCATCCTTACAAAGTGACCATATAAAATGTCTTCCTTATGAAATATGTTGAGAATCTGGTGGCTGACAACTTTCAAATGTGGAAGGTTTAGTAAACGTTCATCACTGACATTGATCTTGATATGCCTATTGACCACTACTGAGGAAATGCAGTCGGGTAGGCATCATAAACAGCATTAAACGTGAAGGTGCCGACGGCGTTCGGTGTTCGACAACTCGTTTACACATAACACGTCTATAATCTAAACATACCGACCCAGTCTAACCAAATGTCAGAAATAAAAGGTTTGGAAGACTTATGATTATAAAGCTATCGATGCGTTTGATCTAAGCTGACTAGTAGATGTAAGGTATACATAGTGAAGCTTACACAGTGGTTATCTGGTGTGAATGAGTGACCGAGTGCTTCAGCTAGTGTGTCCAGTGTAACCAATGCGGTTGCTGTGAACAGGAAAACAAGTAGCCCTGACAAACTACGAAAGCTATTTTTCGGGACGTCATTCCACTTTATTCAAAGCTTGTAAAACAATGACTTATTTTTGTCCCTGATTTATTCTACAGAACATAAGCTTTCGTTCGATGTATGGTTTATTGCTATGTCTTATTTTTGTTCCAAAGCTATTGTAATTCAATCATAATATTTTGCACGCTATTTTCTACTCTAATTCCTAGCATTGGACATAATTGTATTTTCCCTAATTATCGTGCGTTGTGTTCGGTTAGTCACTTATTTATTCATGTACCTTTTTACACTAATCTGAACTGAACTCAGGATATCGAAAATAAATCAAGTAGTGTTCCACTTGTCTTGTCTTCTCTCATTAGCGACTTGTAAGCCAATCAGGTTATAGAATAGTTTTCTCCTCTCCACCCCATTTCCAACTCACGCGTACTAGCCTCATGGTTAGGTCGGTCAGCCTATCGCGCCAAGGTCTTAATGTGGATTAGATAGGTATCCTCGGCACCAAGAGCGGGTAGACAGACTAAAGAACATAACAGCGCTTAGCAGCAATTTCAAAGACTCACAGATCTGTTTATTTTGAGGATTTGTTTGCCGCAACATCCGTTTACGCGAAAGACGGTGAATGAGGAAAACGTGAAGCGGACTAATTTCAAGTTAGAAAACAGTATTATAGGAAACGTCCAGGTACGAAATTTTAAAATCAAATTTTCGTTCGTTGGCATTTTAAAAAAAGGCGTGTTACTCAACAGCAAGGGCGAAGGATCTTTTAAAATATATAGTCAACTTCAGAAAATGAATTGCAGTGTAGATTACTAACGTAGATGATTTGTGTCGAGTTATTTGGAGCTTACTCGAGTTAGATGGGAATAGTATGACTTTAAAGTCCCGCCTCGCTATCAACACCTGATGTGGATTGTCTTTACGTCGTATCAGGGTACTATTGCTGCTTTAACACCATATAACACAAATGACGTTATTACAGAAATATATTAGTGAAAGTAGACACAACCGATTGTGTGGGCCAGTCTGTAGAGCACGATTATTCGGTGTGCGTCAGTTTCCCTCGGCGTTGGTGGGGATCAATGAGCTGTTCGACACTTAGTGACTTGAATAGTGTCCAGTGACATTTCATTGATCCTACATTTGTATTAATTGTTAAGTAGTCCAAATAATACAGGTTCACACACCTAAAACATATTCTCTGTTCAAGTATTTTAACACCGGTATCGCAAAATATAAGTTGATCTCTACTAATTGATGTTTAGACTTCTCCCTTTGTAAAAATATAAAGAAGTCATGACATGAGTCATGGACATGAAACTTATTTATTGAAAGCTCATGTTTGTACTCCTTGCTATTCTGCAATTCAAAAGTCGCGTGTCTTAGTACAAAATTAATAATTCTTCAGAACTTGTTTTGTTATTCAAAGGCTGTTTGTTTAAATAATCTAATCAGGGGCAATGTCATAGTGATTTGTCGCCTGTCTACTTTTAGATAGTCATTATGGACTCCTCTGACCTACATCTTGCAATTGATTATGTTGGATCATGTGGTATCGTTTTGACACCTGAACAAAAGGCGACGCTTAATACAACACTGACTATTTTGAAGCACGAAAACAAGTTCTCGTATGTGTCGTTTTGGGGTATAATTCGAGGAATCAATGGAGACTATTTCATTGCTCAAGGAATAGGCAAAGATGTATTAAAAGAAAAAACAAATCTGTACAGGTATATAAACAGTAATTTAGGTAACCGCTTTACTTTAGTAAAGATTGCACAACATGGGGGTTGTTACCAGTACCAGGGAAACAAGATATAGAAAAAAGTAAACTTTTCAAAATGAGACTAACGGGTGATCCTTCACATGAAGCTGAATACGTTGAGGTGAAACAAATGCCAGGAGAAGGTGATGAGCTTGTCGAGACTGAAGAACTTGTAATCTCTGTTTGATTAACAATTGGTATATGAATTAGATAACCATGAAAGAAGAAGATAGACTTGCTGCTATTATTTACCGCATGGAAGAGGAGGTTGTTATTGTTCCACGTGGTGCATTTATACGAATGTACAACGGACAAGTTGTGAGAAATAAATCTTTTGAAGGTAAATGGATGCAATTACTCATAAAAATATAGGTTTAACTTGTGCTGAGGCTTCAAAGCTATTATCATACTTCCATTGTCGGCCTCCTGTAAATATGTCTAACAAACCATTAGCCGAAAGAGCAAAGCTGGATAAAGCCATCGATTTTTTAGATACTATTGAGGATGATAATCCTGAAGGTGAGATTCTTTTTTAATAAGATTAGATATTTCTCTACACTCACTTTTGGATGTGAGCAAGGCAATCTTCCTTAGATTTTAACATTTAATTCGTAATCTAGTGGAATAATGGCAGTTATTTGGTACTCATTAGCTGGTGATCATGAGATTATTTTTCATAGATTGATAATAAACAATATTCTCCTTTTCACTTCCATTTGGACGAAAACTTTTAATCCATTAAATATCCACATTATAATTCATACTTAGAAAGGCCTATTAGCTGCATATATGTTTTGGACTGTAAACTAGTATCCCCGGCCATGTGAAGCCAGGACTTTAGTGTTTAAAGCGTGGTATACAATTTAGCAAAGTGTATGGTCAGTGAAACAAAGGCTTGTGCACAAACCTCTTGATTGTCAAGTTTAGTTTTTGATTGTTTTTTTATCAACCAGAGAAAATTTGGATTTCAAAACGTTCATTTTTCAACGGTTTATGGGATCTGTTTAACTACTAGTGAATAGTGGAGAGCAAAGTAAAGACATTAGGTTAAATTCCCATCTAGAGACTTGTCTTTCGACAGAAACTGGGGAACATGAATATCAGAAAGCAAGACGCAGTCTCCTAAGTGCGCCAAGCAACTAAACAATAGTTTCTTGGATGCATTTTTATCCTTATTAACCCAAGATGTCGTATCGCAACTGATCTATGTTAACGCTTATTCTGATCATAGTCAGTCATACGCAACACAGAACCTGACATATATGTATATCGATCCGAATTGTCACACCCTATTAGCAGTGAGACGAAATTGTTAGGGTTATTCCCAGAGTTGTAACAGTATCAATAATAATAGAGAAGACTGGGGGTCGGAGATATAAACTAGTGAAATAAAAGAATTCATAAAATCATTCGGTCTTGGGTCCTAAGAGGAAACAAAGATTGAACCTGTGCAGTTGTGGATGATTTTGAGCCATGTCACTTAGTTACTAGCTGTTGGTTAACATAATCAAGATGATCCTAAGCAGATAGTCTGTGCTTTCGATGGAGTTTTGTTCTCTAAGCTGGATGGTTTAGTCGTCGAGCTTTCATCGTTCTTCTAAACGACATCATCAGCACAAACTTCAGGTAGACCATCCTCCTGGGCTACAAATCTTCTCCACCATCTCGGATGCTCTGTGCATACCTAGATTCGAATCAAAGTATTATGCCTTTAAAGCACCACTTATCCTAAATGTCTTGTCAACCCTCGTGTGTGATAAGCGAAATCTGGGAATGTATTAAGATATTTAGACTTTGACAGTATGTCTGCCATCCCAAGGTCGGATTTACTAAGAGCCTTTCTAATTTACTTCAACCAATGAATTTGCAACATGCGCTCCAAGAAAAAAACATGTAGGGTATTTCTAAGTAGTGACAGATAGCTTCAAAGCATCACTTGTGTATGGTGGAGCTAGTGACTAATCAGACATAAAATACTAGGTAAAGATGAAGGATCAGTTGACGGTGATGTGTATCTTCACTAACTGACCGGACTAGAACATGTACTTAGTATCCACCTACCACATCCTTCAATGCCCAACGCTAATCGGCTGAAATTGGAAGAAAGCTAGAGACAATCAAATGAAGATCGTACATCCGTGTATTAGGTCACTAACTGCTGATATAAGCTTTGTGGATAGGTACAGGTTTCCTGGTTGGGACCACTGACATAAATGTGTCCAACAGTTGGACAACTTATATAACATGCTTTGAGGTCGGATACTATGGCGCTGACGTGTTCGTATTCCATCTTCTCTTAAACTATGATCATTTCATGTTTCTAGTCCGTCAAGTAAAAGTAACTGGCTTTAGTTCCTTTATTTCTATATTAGCTAAACCCCTCAACTGTTTCTAGGTGTTCTACCGTGGTGATAACTTTGGCCGATATATATTGTGTAGTGCAATGAACATTTCGAAAGCTATGTCCAGGAAAATATTGTGTTGTGCAAATATATAAGGTCATGAAACAACAGACAAAGGTTTGCATATCTGATGAGATAAAGGCATGAATAACGTAAGTTAAAAGAAAAACAAGACTTCGTTAGGTGGTAATTTCTATGATGCTAAAGCAACTTCAGACCTATCCAAGCGAAAACTGAGATTAAAATGGTGATAATGTAACCTTGAGGCAGGTATAATGTTACTTAGGAATTAACCATAACAAGAGTACACTATATACTTACAATACAGCATTGGAAAAAGACTGGAATGAGTCAATTATATGTGCATACAGGATAAAAAAACCTAAAACTTTTATGATAGATTTGAGAATCTTTTTCACTAGTGCGGTTATTATCAGGTCAGCTTTTGAAACAGCTGAAAATCTATAAATTTCAAGGGATCATCTACACGTACGAGCTACTGACCAGTTGTCAGCCCATAACAGGCGTATTTATGTATATACATTTTAATATACATGCAAATTTTACTTGTCGAGGTCGCGTACTTTACAATTGAATATTACAATCATTGCTGCTTTTGCACATTTAGACTAAAAATTTTCTATGAACTACCGCTTTACACTTTGAAAAGGTTGTTGGGTGATTCAATTTGAACGTGGAGGCAACCTTGTTCTGGTCAAAAGTCTTTTATGGATTGGATATGTTTTATATCACTTACCAGGTACAAACAAATATGGATCAATTTATGTTGGAACTGGTGAATATAATATTGATCTCCCATTTATGATATAATGCAAAAAGTAAGCGAACTATACAAAGAAGTATAAAATTTGATGTATTTTACAGAAACATTGAAATATTTGTATACAAATACTTAAAAAAGTTGATTGGAATGAAAAACTAGTTTGTGTATTTGTTTATTTGATTACTCTTAATGTATTTGAAGAAACAACAGGCCGGAAATATCTAACACATTAAAATATCACAGGAATATATTAGAAATACATTTAATGACCAGTGATTACTCTTTTGTTCTGGGTGTGCATGAGAGTTTGTCGATAAATGCTTGTCTATTTCTGCGAATTTCTTCAGCTGATATTCGATTCCCATTATTTATGTCAGTTTGAGCTGTATTTTGGCCGATAAAATTCGATTCATTAGCTAAGAAGAAAATTTTTTTAAAACAATTAGTTTGATAAATTTCAGTAATGCAATGAGACGAAGATTATCAGAACTGTGATATTTTAGCGTAACACGTTTAAGACAGTTTGATCACATATATACCTGTTAAGATATTCATACATGAAAATATTGAAAACCAATTAGGCAAATTGGATAGTAAGAGAAAACAAGGATGAAGAAAAGTGTAAAGCTCTACACTGGATAATAAGTCGATAGTATCGAATTAGGCTTCGAGTGGGAATAAACTATTTTTGAATACACAATAACGGTTCGAAATTTGGCGCAGTCAAGGCTTAAATAAGCGTTATTATAACCCTTTATTATTCCTGCACAGCACTACAAAAGCTTATTTGATGTCAGCCCTATGACGCATCTCACCCAAATGCTATAGGATGGAAGATGCTTGTCAGTCAGCTATAACGTAGGACCAGGCACATATATGCATCGGTCCAAGTTGCCATACCTCAATTAGTACAACAAGATGAACACCAAATTCATAGTAGTTACTTCAATGGTAGTAATATATAAAATGCATATAAGGATATAATACAGGAAGAAAGAATTAATTCGTAGAAAGGAAGGAATAAAATTTGTATACACCTACTCCACTGTGGTCGATTCTGAGCCATATCACCCAGTCTTCAAACATTGGTTACGATAGTCACAAGGACCCCAACCAAGTAGTCTGCATCTACCAACATGGCTTAGAATAGAAGTTAATGGCTTCAAGGACTGATGCCACGTTTTGACATAGGCCAGTCCTAAATCAGAAGCGTTCATTTAGAGGGGGAGAAACGCATCACAAACATTCTGTCATTGTTGCTCAGTGTTACCAAAAGACTGCATTTTATCAGCGTCTTCACCAAACAGGACTATGTCATTTGCTTATTCCAAGTCGACAAGTGAACCTTCTGGAAGGAGATAAATGCCCGATAATTCGGTCGACAAGGAAGTTATTTCCATCAGTATGCCTACGATGAAATCGAACAAAAACGGACACAACTTGGGGTTGCAAAACTATGTACTTTCATTTAACCATTGGGATTTACAGCCACACACATATGCGTCAGCCAACCTTGCTTGTAGATTACGAATGCTTCTCACTACGTATGTGTCCATCCAAACATGTGAAGTGATAGAGTCGATGGGATGTGAGGCAATCGTTTACATTCTGGTTGATTTTTTGATTAGCAATCAGTGGTACTTTTTACACAGCCTAACTCATGTTTATCAAAAAATTATGTTCTACATTTAACCAAAAACCTAAACAATATTTAGATGATTGTCACATCCTAATGAATCGGTAACGAGAATGTTAACAAGTGGTGTATGACGATCTTGCATCATTAACTGGCCAATGCTTGTGACAAGAAGCCTCTCGAATTCGAGCGTAAAACAATGAATCAAGTCAAAGCATAACCAAATACTTGTTTTCACCAAATAGCCTATTTTTTTCCTTACTATCTGAATACAAAGCAAGTGATTCATAATTCATGAGCAAACTGGATGAAAAGAAGTAAAATATGCAAAACACGTATTTACCAATACAGAAATCGCATAAGTTGGTGTAACCTTACTTCAGTTGCTTCTAGTTATAGACCAAGAATACTAAGATAACGCGCTGAAATCCTTTACGTGTTAAGCACAATTGTTGGGACAATCAGTATAACTATAGGTGCACGTACTGTACAAATGTGACTTGTAGTTCAGTACATAATTACAGATCTGTAAAAAAAAATACCACTGCTAAAAATTTATAGATAATTTAGCTTACTACAATAGTAATGATGATAATATTAAAATTGACAAGGGATTCAAATAACACACCTTGCAAAATACTTACGAGTATTAAGGCTTAAAGCAATCGCTTCCCGTAGTTCCTTGTCAGACGTATCTTCGTACTCCTGCAGCAAATAAGGTTAGCGAAACAGGGGCTTGGTGAAATCAGGCAATTAAATAAATACAGAGCAATCCATTTTATAATGGGTCCCAAAAATATCAATTCATGAGAGGTAGCTGCGGCATTAGAACTTTATTTTGATTATTACATAACTGAGATCTACAGACACATTTAATTTACAAACAACTCAGTTGTTCATTACCAAAATGAAGCTATAAGATGTTCGCCTGATTCATGCAACTACAAATAAATGTGCCTGCTTTTAGAATTTTGATCTCCATGATCTGAGATCCTCTAGTTTTGGATACTTTGTACGTCAATTAGTGAGTAGAATTTACTTTAACATATAACAATCCTAGATGGAAGGAAAGACACTATCTAACCTGGTGACTTTAAACATTCGACTGTAGAAACTGATAAGTAATAACGCTACTAGCTACGGGATGAGATCGTTAAAAGGTTTGTACCAGTACAAGTATCAATGTTTCAAACAGAATTGATCTATATCTTTCGATATGATATGAAAATGGTTAAAACATTGGATAAGAAGACTATGGTGTAAATGTCTTGATAATATTTATAAGAATGATCGCCTTTTTTATTTATTTGACCACATGTGGCAACCCATTAGCGTATGTTGAATAATAAAACTGACAGTATAGGTGTATTGCGGAATAAAATTAAATGTGCTGATTTTAGAACTAGCCTTTTCAAACCAATTTTTTCAAAGAGTGGTGAATACCAGCTTTGTATGTAATCTTATAGGATTTTGAAAACAGTTTACAATAGTTATGTGATGTCATCAATGAACCACACTCACACAAAAATGGTTGTCTTAATATCATTATTTTCTGCCATACTGTAACTTAAAGTAACAAGATTCAGAGATAGCATAGGTTGACCGCGTCGAGTGGATTGAGAAAGCACGAAAATGTAAATATAGAAATTATTAATTAGTACACCATTCAATAAATACATGCACGCCAGCGAATAAAGGTGCAGTTAGTTGATTCTCGTAAGTAATCTGTTAATATATTTATTTAACTGTAGTTCTTTAACAATACGCCAACCTGCCCTAAATAAGTGTTGTTATTTGTCTTCGTACAGTTGTAAGTTAAGTCTCATTTGCAGTATTCTCTCTTTTGTGTATTTGATTATCTCCCATCTAACTGCTATGAATTTATTATTACAATATTTATGGTTAAAGTTACTCCTCATAACTTTGTAACTAGAAATGAAGTTGTGAGGGAAACACAAGGGCAATATATGACTATGAGCAGGTTTAAAATGTAAGTTCATGTCGAATTAACATGAAAAAAGTTTACTCACATTTGCTGAAACTCTTAAAGCGAGTTGTAGTTCTTCATCATCATTTTCGGATGATTGTAAGATGCGTTGTAGGGTTTGGTCATCATCATCAATATCTGCATTACTGACAGCTAAGGCGACATCCACTTCTGCACTTTTATCCGGTTGACTTGTGCTAGTTGTGGAAGATCTAGTCAAGTCGTCTTCAACAACAGGACAAATCTAATGAATTGTAACAAATTTATTAATAAAAATGAGAATATATTTTGGATGCTTTAGTATCAATCTGGATGTGTAGAAAAATTGTCGACTACATGTTTATCTATGAACAAGTGTACTTGAGAGTATAGTACCTTATCAAATCTAAATCGTTTAATGGGACAGTCAGAGACGATACTACTTACTATTTTTGATTCTAAAGAAAGCCAGACCGTAGTGAATCCAAGTTTTTAAGATCATTAACATAACCACCTAGTTGAAATATAGGCTGAATTTTTGTTGTGTACTCAGGTCGTCCGAGTTTGCTATTGATAAGTAAGCTTCCTAAGCGTACTCCCAAGCCAACTACTTGAATGAGAAAGGCAAGCGTGGATAGGAAACTATTGGCCAACTAAACCGAAGATACATATATGTTTCCCTCAGAAAAGTAAGCTAGGTTATCAATCAATAGTGTATATAGGTTTCCATGTAAAGTTAAGTCAAATCTTATCCAGTGGTGTGCGCCTGTCAGTGTCACTTATTTATCATTTGACCTGTGTCTGAATGGTTCAGCTCATCACTTTACCTTCCTGCAAAATAATTCTGGCTTTTGGATTCGGCTATAGGAACTGAGGCGATCGATACAGGCCTAGTGGTGAGACGTTTTCACGAGCTTTGTTGTACTTACGGTTTAAGTATTTGCATATATCAGAACTGACAGAATAAAAAGTAGCTAAGTGCCGAAACTGAACTTCAGAAGAGAAAGGTCGAATGGAATAGGGATAGAAAGAGCTTAACAGCATAACAAACATGAAACGTCAAATGACAGAATAAAAACAAGTGAAATTTCAAACTAAATGGGCGTACGGATAATATTTCGTCGGCTTCACATCGAGGCAATGTACCAGTGATAATAAATATTGAATTTCCTTCTTCTTTAAGTTGAGCCAAATAAATAGCTAGATATGTTTCAGAAATTAATTTAGGTGCGGAAAGAATCGAGTTGAGGTTGAACCATTGCTTTCCAATCTTCCTTATCGTAAACCAGTGATGCCGGTAGTGACAAATAAAAGCATTCTGACTAGCAGGATTTTCCCTAGCACGTTCTGCTTCCGGACATTGTCGCAAAAAAGGTACAAGTTCTAGAGACCATATCTGCAAAGCTTGGCTAATAACCTGTGAATACAAATACAACAAATTTTCACCAATAGCTGAATTACGTGTTCACAACACTAGGACTACACTATTTTAAAATTTAAATCTAAATATGAGTAGCGAACTGACTGAATACAATAAACATGAAGTATACGTGCACTAGTGATAACATTAGAAACGTAAGCAGAAGACAAACACTACAAAGATGTTTTCGTATCCAGTGATTTATTACGTCGAACTATGAGGGAACCTTACGAGGTTTTACCACACTGTCAACAAAAATCAGTACGAAACGTCACTGGCACTGGTTAACTAAAATCCACAATCGCCTACCTTTATTAAAAATGAAATATGAAATCCTCAATTACAACTACATTTGTGATTATCAGTGGTGTCCAAGTAAAAGATTTAGAGTTTTGTGTTACTATTGCCTGAACCTCTAGTATCTAGACATTTTCCATCGTATTTGATTAGGGAATGGAAGAAACACGAAACAATAACACTTGTAGACATTAAAAAACATAACTTAATGGGGCACTACAGGAGTATACACACATCGAGTATGGCTAGTAATAATAATTTACTCTTATCGATTGTATGACGGATATGACCACCACGTGTGGACATAATTTATTCGGTAGAAAATTCAACAGATACATAAGATAGTTAATTAATGGTAGGTTATACATGAGTTTATCGACCTGTATTATATCAGTCTTAGGTAATAAGGATAGGAGGTCTATCGACCTATATTAATCCCTGCAGTTTGTAATACTGTGGAGGTCCAATCTCGTTTTCAATATATCAACAGGTGCTGATATTACGTGTTCCGGTAGAAAGTTTCAGTAATTCACTACTTAGTGCGAACCGTTACTGAAACAAAAATCAAAGCGTCTCTCCCCTTCCAGATACTTACCTGTACTGAAAAGTAACCACTTTCATCCATATTTTGAAAACAATTAGACATACCGCGACTGCTTCCCAACTGGGATACTTCTTCATCGTCTAACTGTTTGGCAATGTTAGCTAAATCCACTGCTGTAAAATAAGGGCCTTGTAGAAGCGCATTTAGGCAGTGTTGAGCACACAATGATCCATCTTGCTACATAACATTGAGAGAAAGATAACCAGCCCACCTTCTCGTGAAAAATCAGATCCATTTACACTCCCCGTCTTTAGTGACCTAAGTTAATAACCTATATGTCTATACGACAAAACAACATTCACCGTTACCAAAAAAATATCAAGAATCACCAATCCTCCACGTTGCTTCAGTGATCACAGTTTGTTCCTCTGACGATTTTAAGTTTTATTTCAGAGGACGTGACGTCAATCAGTTTTATTCGTTGAATACATGACACACAGAATGAAATCGAAGTCTAATTTCTAAGCACTTTCGAAATGGTCTCAAGGGTCACAAATGACTGGAAAAAGAATGTAATCTCAAGTCGATTAAAACTCGACTTACTGCTTAAAGGTATTCGTAGTTATATTCTACTGAGCATGGAACCACGATCAGCGGATGATGTTTAAATTCCTCCACAATAATTTCGAACTATACGGTGTCTAATCAAAAACACAGTAACTGTATTGTTTATTTACCACGCCCGTATACAGCAACTAGGAGTATTCGAAATAATGTACAAAATAAGAATTTCCGGAATGGTGCAATTTAAGGCAGGTAGAACTAAATGAGCTTGCACATGAACCATAGATTTATTACCCTACATTAATTAACCTTTCGTAGATTGGAGGAAATTAGTTCTTTGGTGATTTCTTGTTGTAGCAATTTAATCGTAGTTTATCTTGCGTGCGGCCCGTTAATTCCGCACTAAAAGACGGTGTCCACTGTCTTCTCCCGGTCTTTTAATCTTTCAACATCAATAGGATTTATGTTTGTTTTCATGGTCTTGACACTTCTTGCATGCACATTTGAATGAGAGAGCCTCGGAGTTTTTACGTAATTATTAGCACTTCTTTTATTTAGTTAAAAATTTATCAAGCATTTAATTGGAACCGTCTTCAGTGGTTGACATGGAAAGCTCCCCATGAAACATTCTTAAACTTTCTACATAGATGGTCCACAATCACTGACGAGGAATTCACTATTCGAGCTTGAAGATTTGCCATCTCTAAACAGCAAATTGCAACGCTCAACGATAGGAGGTTTATGACTAGCAATACTCGAAATATATACTTTATTAGTTTTAATTGTAACATCGGGACTTAATGACTTCAGCTTTCCAACTCAAATGATGAACTCGATGCTATCAGTGTCAACAATAATATCGTAAAAACCACCATTGGACAAATATAACCGTTTCTCATTATGAAATGAATTGCTGGGATTTGTAACTAAGAACAGTATATGATCATTAGAATCATCCAAATTAATATAAACTGAACTGCAAAGTTTAGATTTACTTTTGGCGAAAAGGATCGTGGTTTTACAAACCGACCAGATGTGCCCCATTTCACCACATTTAGATTATTTAGCATGATGAAAGTCACCTGAATTACGTAAGTGATATTCACCACAGGATGAACATTTACCATACCTGTGCTCACTTCTCTGTCGAATTATCTTTCATAGTTTCACGAGAACAGGAACTAGTATGAAGCACATGCGAGCTTGAGAGACATTGATAACATATTTCATTACGACGACTGAGTGAAGTATTGGGAATCGTCACTGACTAGGAATCAAATTCATTTGCTGCCTCATAGTTAGTACAGACAGATTGATTTCGTGAAATGAATTTTTGAGTTTTTGAACTAATTTCTTTTCTGGATTTTTAATATTTATCCCAACAATCAACCGATTATGAACCTGGATTTCCAATTGGTCTCCGAAATTTCATCTAGCGATCTGTTTCTGTGGTTCGATTTGCAAATTTCTAACTTTCTGATCATTGTGTCACATCATTTTAGGAAAATTTGATGTCACTCTGCATTGAAAGTTAGCATACTGCACATGACCGAGTGGCGATTTCATGAGAGATTCATATGACAGTGAAATTGGTTTCTTTGATTGGGCCCGAAAGTTTAGTAGGTTATAAGTTTCTTTGTCAACGAACGTTGGAAAAGAAGCTTTGAATTTATCATCTTAAATATCTATTTTAATCATATACCGAATTCCGAGCCACTTCATACAATCTTCAAAGACATCTCCACTAGAATTAATATTCAACTGCTTAAAGTTTGACTCCAGCGCGACGCCAGTATGATAATAAAAAGTATTTACACCGACGTTCTAACATGATATGTGAAAAATTGAGTAATTCAACACAGGTGACTAGACAAGCACAATTGAATGTATCATATTTGGAATTCGTAATCAGCGGCCAATAAAGTACCGCCGCACGTTGATTTTTGGTCTATGTATCTATAATGTAATTCAGGTTATTCTGCAATTCTGCTTGATATCAATTGTCCAGCAATTTTATTTTTATTTTCTTCATCTATCCAGAATTTGATATTATTGAAAGAATTATTAATAACAGGGAAATTACTGGAATTAAAATTGGAACTATACATCTGAAGATGAGAATCATCCACAACACTAGGATTAGTCAGAGTATGATTTGAAATCTCCTACTTCATCAGTCTGTAGTGACCTACGTTTATGAAGAGAATGCGATTGGTATGAGGGAAACAATTATTATTATAACCATTTGTGCCAGTGATTGTTTTACTGTAGCTGTTTGTTTAACTGTACTAGAAACATACATTTTTCAGCTGACTGTGACTTGTGCTCTCTCGGTTACGTTCATAAGTTCCACTCGTACCCTGTCACACGATCTCCGTATTCTATCAATACCAAATAAATTTTATTACAACCGTCGATTGCCTTCTGGTTTTCGGACTACGAAGGGATCCAACCTAATAAGTAACACGTAGTCTCAGTGTAGTGGTGATTTTAGTCAATCGCGACTCGACACCACGCTACAACACTACAAATCTGTGGTGGTATTAGTAGTAACCACATAATCGTCAAAGCTGAACATGAGTTAACTGTGAAAATGCATATTCAATAAGAACACGGAGAAGGTCAACAATGGAGGCGAGAATAATTAATTGAAATCAATCGTGTGGCATGGCTCAGCCTGGCAGACGTGGTCATTCTGTACCTTTTGCTTCTGTTCACACCAAAAATGTCAGTTTAAATGTGTTCTTTAGAAGTACTGAGTATAATATTGCTAATTGTTACGATACGATGAGTCAGTGTAGACAATGATGTGACTTCCACGTAAAATCTTATAGATTAGGCAGTCACATCATGACATATCTTCAATTTTAACATTGGGTCTATTATTATAACAGTACCATTCAGTCCTCTCTCACGCTGCTAGCCAATGGCTACTTACATCATTTAATGGTCATATTTGCTAGAGCTTGAAGTTCTTACAACTTTATTTTGCTGAAGGATGTAAATGCTGTTAGAGCTTGTTAATGAACCATCATAGCTAATAATTAATATAGATGACCTATTATTAGTATCGACTGAGCTAGTAAGCTATGAGTACTAACCAACATTACAATACGATAATACATGTGAGCATTAGTCGAAGGATTATTGGAATAATGGGTTAATATAAATAAACCTGATCGAGAAGGTTAAAGTGAAAATGAGGATTGATATTAATTAATTCTTACTGCCTCCATTGTTGACCTTCTCCTTGTTAATTGTTGAATATACATCTCAGTTAACTCATGTTCAGCTTTGACGATTGTGTGTTTAGGACCAATATCACTACAAATCTTCACCTTGTATATATGAGCGTTGTGAGCTGAATGGTAATTTAATTCAAGGATCTTCACCATCAGACTACCAATTCTCTGAATTATATTCCTCGCAGATGTTCACTTGTCATTTCCTCTGCAAAACTGCACGTCGTATGACTTTTCGTTTACTAAATGAGTACCAAGTATGCTATATTTAAAAAGTTTAGCTAGACTTTCATGAGTTTTTGGATGTTCTGCACTAAGAAATTAAAGCAGAAAATTATGGATGTATTTTTCTAGCTCTTCCAAATTATTTAAATTCACTGACGTGATAGTACTAGTTAAAGTTCGAACAAAAGTTTCTGCTAGATCGTTAGATTAATGATGTTGTGGGGCTGTAAATGGATGACGGCATCCAATATCAGTAGGCTAGCCGTTAAGCGTTTTTTTTGTGAAAGAGGTTCCATTATCCGTTCCTAATACACTGACCATACATTCGTGACTAAATATCTTCCTCCGTGCCCTTTGAGTAAAGTGTCTGCTAGGAATGCCCGTTGATACCACTTCTGACTATTTAGAATGTGAATCGATGATAACTAATCCATAAAGGAGCTTTAAAATGTGCCACAATATTGACAGTTAATGGTTCATCCAAAATACCTTCACCTTCGTTGGAAGGCGTGATAGAAAATATGCATGTGGTAAGCTTTTAGCTACTTGGTGCTCAATGGCGAAATCCTTCTCACACAACTCTAAATTCCATCTCTGGACCATGGCAGATGATAATCGATGAAAGGACTTAGATAGATGGTAGATAAACTTTGACGCTTGGCAATCAGTTACAGTATCAAATTTCATATCAAACAAGTATTTGTACAGTCTTACTGCCCATATGACAGCTAAAGCCTTTTTTGAATCTGTGGATGTCCTTGTTCTCTTTTGTCTAGTTGTCTCGAAGTAAAAATAACAGGTTTCCCAATATGCTCTGGAACTGCACCTTAGCCACTTGAGATGCATCTGTAGTAAGGATTGATTTTTCAGTCGCTGAAAACAATCTGGGGAAAATCTTGTCATTTAAAAACTGCAGTGTCCCTCAGTACATCTCGTGTCGTTGTTCTGATACACACACTTTACTAAAACCAATTAAAACGTGAAGGTACTAATTATGTAAAGTCAGGAATAAATCTGTAACAAAACTGAAGTTCACCATTTCATGATGTGAGTGCTGAAATATTCTTGGGTGACCGTGCATGAATCAGTAAAGCTAAGTGACTGGAACCAGGTTTAATACCCTTGGCATCTAAAGTATAGCCTAGGCAGTTGACGGAATTTAGTTGAAGCTGACACTCGGATGGATTTAAAGTAATATTTGAGTCACAAATACGTCTAAGTTACTTTAAAATACATCAATTTTGCAGCTTAATATTCTCAACACGAACTACGATATCGTCCTGCTACAATTCAACACCATCAAGACTGTTGATAATCTGATTTACAACCTTCTGAAATATCTCAGTGGAAACATTTAATTCAAATGGTAGTAGTTTGTATGTGAGCAACACAAAAGGTGTATAATAGGTAGTTAGTCCATTAGAAATCTCGTCAAATGAAATT